AATGTGCTATTTATAAATATGTACTGCAAAAATTGTAATTTTAGCGGTTAATACACATAGCACCTAGCACTAAATTCAAGAATTAAGTGAGCCTCTCTCTGCCTTAGTCCTTCATTGCCTCTAGGCAATCGCTGCCTGAATTCATTTACAGTCGCTCCCCCCTTGTTTGTGGGGATCTGTTTCAAGATCCCAGTGGATGCCTGCAGCTGTGGACAGTACCTAACTGTAAATGCTATGTTGTTTCCTATACACACACACCTATGATGAAGTTTAACACCTCTCCCGTCTACACTAAGCCCTGACACAGCCTGCAGCTGTAACTTGCAGTTTGAGGTGCGACAGCAAAACTAGCACAGATCCCTTTTCCTTCTTCACCATTTCACAACAGAACATTCGTTGTCATAGATCTGAGCAGCCTACACACAGTTTTTCTTATTGAGCTTAGAACATTCACCTCTTCACTTTACAGCTTCTCTCTTAGCATGTCTGAGTTGTGGTAGTAGCATCACTACTGTCGCGCTTTGGGGACATTAAGTAAAATAGGGGTGACTTGAACACAATCACTGAGATCACAGGACAGTTGGTCTGAGAGCAGAGATGACTACTAACCAGCTAATGGGTGGGTAGGGTTATGAATTGTTCATTTCTGTAATTTTCCATTTAATATTTTCAGACCATAGTTGACCATGAGTAACCAAAACAGCAGAAAGCAAAATCGTGGATAAGGGAACTACTATACATACGTACACATGTACACACACACACACACACACACGGCAGCATAATACACACTACTGCGTACTGTGTTTTTCTCACTTAATATATCTTCATTTTACTTAATAATGTATCCTGGAGATTTCCCACTTCACACAGAAAACTTACCTCTGTCTTGAAGAGGTTGCCTGTTCCTCTGTGTAAATGTGCCATCATTTCCTTAAACAGATCTCTATTGAGAGGCTATTGACACCAAAGGGTTGATTTTTATTGGATGAAATACGGGGCCATTGGAGTGTGGGTGTTTTCAGGACAGCAACAGTGAGGCATATGAAACAAGTGCGGAAGAGAGAACCGATGAAGCCGGCAGACGGTATATAAAGAAAGAGAAGGCTCACAGGTGAGAGGGGAAATCCCGGCTGAGGGACGACGGAGAGAGCAAGACACAGGACAAAGAAACATCCCAACTCGGACAGGACAAAGTTTGGTGGTTTCACTTCATCCCTTGCCGAAGACGGACTGAGCCGGCAGTTACAAAGAATAAGGACAACTCTAAGATTTTGAAACTAAATGAGAAAAATAATAGAATGTTATGCTGAGAAGCTCTGCTTAGCGATAAGATGATGAAAACGGGGCTGAGAGGGT